GTCGACTACGTGGGAATCCAGCGACATAGCCATTATGCTAACTGCTGGTTCCCGGTTTCTGGGGCATTTTCAATATTAAAGTTGAGAAATCTGGTTTTTTTGTTTTTTGTTTTTAAGAATGTTAGAAATGTATTAGTGTTAGGTAAATTGAGAGGATGATAGTTTATTGCCCTTTTTCTTTAAGTTTTATTTGTTTTAAAAAATCAGTATATCAAATTTTTAAAAATAAGGAAGAAAATTAAAATTATGAGCCTGAGAGAACCACCATTAATATTTTGGTGGTCATCCTTTTATGTCTTTTTTAAATGCATCTTTTTATGAGCACAAATATAGTTGTGTTTCAAATAATGATAAAATATATATTATGATAAATGACAAATATATTTAGTATCCAGTATCATGCTTGGCAGATAGAAGCAGTCAATAAAATGAAACTGACCAAGTCTTTCTTCCTAGATGCTAATCAGATTAAGAGGCAGCCATGTGACTTGACTTGAATTTAGATTCTTTCTGTTAGAAAATGGGAACATAACTTCCCGTAGTGCCTTTCTTCATCTGCGTGAAGAGATAATGACACCTGCTTTTCGAGAGCAGCTTTCAGCTGCTTTACATTTGAACCTAGGCTCTGCCTCTAATATTTGTGACCATTGCCAGCCCTGAGACCCTTGGTTTTCTTGTATAAAATGTTAGTAACCCGTTTCACAAGGATAAAGCATGCAAAGCACAGAGACTGGCCGACAGCAAATAACTAATAGGTAATAGAGTTGGTAGTGGAAGTAGCAGTCATGATAGCAGTAGTAGTGGTGAGAATAAAATGGAATAAAGACTGTGGGATGTTTTGAAAAGTACTTTGTATGTATTTGTTATTTTTGTTAAAAACCAATGCCATATGTGCATAAATTTGGTTAGGATACCAGTATATATCACAATAGATATTTCTTGTCTTGCAAAATTGTGTAAAATAGACTGGGGAGATTTGGGGATCAAGGTCAGGGAAACAATGAACATCTTAATGAAAAGTTTCCCTCGTATTTAGTCATCCTTTTTTTTTTTTTAGAATTATTTATTTTATTTTATTTATTATTATTATTAATTTGACCAGCACAAGAAAGGGAAAGTGAGAAAGCAAGCCACCAGGTCTTGGACTTGAACTGCAGTCAGCCATGTGGGAGTCCAGTGCCTCAACCACCACACTGCCTGCTATCCCCTGTATTCATTATTTCAACAAATATCCATCTACTCTTTGCTGTTGTGAAAGCATTTTGCAATTTGCCTCCAAGACTACCAATATGAGGGGACTTCAAAAAGTTCATGGAAAAGTGAAATTAGAGTATGAGTTTATTTCCTGCAAAATAAGATTTAAATTCATGCGTAGTTTTTTTTTTTATAATATGCATTTTCCATGAACAATTTGAACCTCCCCCCCCAACCCCTGGGATATTTAAAATGTAATCCCTGTCCTAGTCCATGTACTGGGCAGTTCATAGACATTATCTCATTTAATTCTCACAAGGTCTTAGAGACACAGATGATAGAAACTCTGTTTTATAGTTGAGGAAATAGGTTTATGGAGATGAAATCACTATTGGTCACAATGTTGGGAATAGGTAGATCTGGGACTCATTTTCTATCATATGATTTTTCCACCACATCGTGAAGCTCCTCCTGGAGCAGACTCTGCCTCTGTGGGTGTGTTATGTAGTGACACTATGACAACACACCCAAGCCTCTAATCCGGAATTGAGGAGCGATTGTGTTCTATGCCATATGGGTTTTAAAAATTAATTTAAAAAAATGTATTGTCTTTCCTAGCAGTATAGGTAGTTCTCTATTCCTCATTTCTAAATGTGTTGTTCAGGAGGAAACTAAGATTGGATGAGGAAGAACTGATTATTAACCAGTTACTCTAGTGGACAATCTACTTAAAGGAATGATTAAATTTTAAAAGCTTTGAGCCAGCTGATGACATGGTGGTTAAGGCAACTGAGTCCCACATGGGACAACTATACAGTTTGAATCCTGGACCTGGAGGCATAAAAAACAGGCAGGAAACTTGTGTATGTGTGTTTAAAATCCTGAAATGAGAAAGAGAAGGGATTGGTATTGTCATTTTCCCTGGGAGTACTTTCTAACTTTACCTCTCTGTCTCTTTCTCTCTCTAGTAAGTACACTTACCATACAGAAAAAAAAAAAAAAAAATCAACTTTTTTTTTCTGGAGAGGTTTTTTTGCTATAGGGCGCTCGCCAGACAGAGACAGACAGAGAAACAGAAAGCGAGAAGTCACTCCCCAGGGGAGTTGGCCATGCCGCAATCCCTTCTCCGTTCTCCTCTCGGGATCTTGGGCACGCACGCACACGCCCGGCATGAGTTTTAAGTCACCGGGTCCGGGACGCAATCCGCGGTCGACTACATGGGAGTCCAGCGACATAGCCATTACACTAACTGCTGGTCCCCCAAAAAATCAACTTTAAAGGCTTTAGGTTTGCCATTTGCTGTTAAGTTTACTATGATTTGCCTATGGTAACATTTTCCTTTCAAAGTTACAGAACCAATGAATGTGAGAAGAGTGTAGTGCTGTAGGTTGTACTACTCCACAGTTAGTATAGCACAGCAGCCCTGCCAAGGTTAACTCAAAATGTCAGTTGGAGATTCATTAGGTCATCCAGAAAGTTATGGTGTATTTTACTATGTTTTTTATACAAAAATGTGTCATGACTTTCCTGATGACCCATTAATAGTGTTAATTCAGATAAGGAATGCAGATCGCGAAATATGAGATGCATTTCCCAAACAGCTGAAACATTCTTGCTGCTCGGTTATGAAATCTTCTAATACATAAACCTGAATTGTGGAGATTATTGGATGCTCATTAGAGCTGTGCTCATTAGAGCTGTGCTGGTTTTGTGTCTTCCTAGACAGGAAAGCTGCAGCTTTATGACCTGGCCTCAGGAAATATGCTGGAGACAGTAGATGCACACGATGGAGCTCTGTGGTCCATGTCTCTCTCTCCAGATCAGGTAACTAGCCAGATTTTAACCTTTGGACTTCAGCCGTCTGGCTGCACTTCCCTTTTCTCATAACAAGTTTTACCACTGCCTAAAAAATGTTTCTTTAAATAAAGCTTTTTTTCTTTTTTTTTTATCTAATCATAAGACCTCCTATATGATGACATCTCATGAACCTATAATACGAATAGCTGTCATGAAATACTTGTTTAGACCGTCATTAGCAACATGACATTAAATTGATGACATTCATGGCTTTTTTACTAATGGTTTGTGATATTTAGTAAGGGGATATATTCTCTTGGACAGCACAATGCAGAAGGTTGAGTAGACTTTTCTGTTACCCTTTTAGTCCTGGTATTTATGAATATAGAAGTTTCCTGTTTTTAGCAAATATGTCACCCTTTACAAGTAAATAAAAGTGTTATCTTGGAGAATTTCGTACTTATTATAGTAATAGTACTGTTGCTCAGAATATTTTGAGTTATTTTTTTACAATAGGAAATCTGATCCATTCATCTTAATATTCTCAATGGTGGCAAGACTTAGTCTATTGAAAGTAAATACTATTTTTGGAAAAAATAAAATCTGAAATTTAGTCAATGCTATTTGGGGTCAAAATGTTCGATCTTTCCGTAAACTACATAGCCTTTTAATATGATAAAACTAAGGATCACTGTAGACACCAGAAATAGTATGAGAAGAGGGTAGGAAAGGGCAGAGGGTCAGAAATAGGGGTAACAAATATATATGAAACTAGAAATGGAAAATTATTGATGATAACATGCATGATTAAGCCACTATGCAGTATATCCTGGATGGGAAATCACATTTTATATGCTGTGACGATACTTAGGAAATGAATGTAAAGTAATTAACTTAAAAAAGTTTCAGAAAAAAACCCTGAAATTGTTTTTCTTGAAATAAAAAAATGTATTAAAAATACCTATTTGATGACTGCAATAGCTATATAGCCCCAGCTAGGTTTTACTTTATAGTATGTTCATTCTACTCACTGAGGTTTATGCCTAAAGTCAGACTTGTGTTCATGGATATATATATATCAGCTGTGCTTACTATCGAAAATATTCAGATTAATTAAGATCTTTAGTGAGTCAATAAAACATGTGGGGCGAAAGGCATAGAAAGCAACCATGGGATACCAGAGACAGTGTGGGAGGAGGGTGGGAGATGGCAGAAGGTGAGAGATAAGGAATCAAGGATGGGGAAAAAAGCAAAATCCACAGGAAAGAACAATAACATGTATGTTGATGTGCTTGACTGAGCCCATATACAGTGTATTCTGGATGGGAAATCTCATTTTGTATGCTGTAATGATGTATAGTGGATGAATGTAAATAAATTTAAATAAAAATTTTAAAAATAAATGAATACAAAAAAAAACTCTAAGGATCATGGAAGGTTGTTTCTTATTATAAATCAATGAGATGGCAGAATAGAAACCTGAGATCTACTTTTAGTTTTCTGATTCCGTGGTCTGTTGGGTTCCATGTTCTGACACATTTTTCCATGCAAACATGTCATGACTTTTTATTTTACACTAACAATATAATACATTGAGAGTAATTTTTGTGATATTAGAAGATAGTTTTGAACATGTTTTAAGGAGGGACATTGCAGGAATAAATTTATATTCTTCTGTGGTGAATACTATAAATATATTTAAATTATCCATTCTATTAATATTTGTCAAGTGAGTTTTACCGGTTTATAACAAAATTCTTTTGACTCTTGGTAGAGCAGAAATCCCACAATGTTCATTAAGATTTTGCCTCCTGATGCTAAAAAAATTTAAAACTTTCCTCATAGTTACTATCTTGTCGTTAGCTTATACTAGGAATTCTCTGTTATAATCTGTAGGGGTAGCCCCAAAAGAACAGTGAATGAGGTTAGGGAGAACAGCATTTTCCTTAATTTTTACTCTCTGGGCAAATTAAAATAAATAAATGGATAAATAAAAGTTAAATAAAATAATTCTTTAAAAAAATGATTTCTTAGGTTCTTTCGATGTGCCTTCTTAGCAAGGTTTTTATGCTAAAATAGTTTTTCATTGAAATATTTCATTTTCAGCGTGGCTTTGTGACAGGTGGTGCAGATAAATCTGTCAAGTTCTGGGATTTTGAGTTGGTGAAAGATGAAAATAGTACCCAAAAGAGGTGAGTAGACAATTTTTGTGTTCATTTTTGGGAATGAAATGGGAAGCCATTAAGTGGCGTTTTGACATGTATATCTCTGTTGTACTCTAGAGAATGTGGAATTGTCTGCATTGGTGAAATGCTCATTTTTATTGTTTTCTTGTTGTTTTCAATGGTGCTAGACTTTCTCTGAAGCAAACGCGAACCTTGCAGTTAGATGAAGATGTTCTGTGTGTCAGATACTCTCCCAATCAAAAGCTATTGGCTGTGTCTTTGCTGGACTGCACTGTGAAAATTTTCTATGTTGACACTTTAAAGGTACAGTGATAATTACCTGTAGTATTTTTTCTTTCTAATTGACTTTTAAGTGTTTAGGTTGAAACTAAGAGAAATGGCTTTGACTTTACCCCTCAGTAATAGTTTCTAAAAATTTATGTGTGATTCCAAGAGCACACTGGGGAAGTTAGAGCTTTAAAAGAATTCCATGTTCCATAAATTCTGTGTAAAGCAAATGACACTTTTCATAGTTGATTATGATTTTAGTATGGGCTTTTCATATATGACCTTCATTAGTGTTGAGATACATTCCTTCTGCTTAATTTATTTAATGTTTTTATCATGAAAGGATGTGAATTTTGTCAGGTGCTGCTTTTTTCTTGCATCTGTTGAGGTGATAAGTTTGCCTTTCATCTTGTTTATGTGGTGTATTGCACTCACTGATTTGCATAAGCTGAACCATCCTTATGCCTCTAGGATAAATCCTACTTCATCTCAGTGAGTTATCCTTTAATGAACTATTGAATTAGATAAGCTAATATCTTATAGAGGGCTTTTGCATCTGTGTTCATGAGGAGGACTGGGCTGTAATTTTCTCTTGTAATGCCTTTGATACCAGGCTAGTACTGGATTCATAAAATTCAGTTTCAAAATATTTCCTCCTTTTTTCTGTGTATTTTCTTTTTTTTTAATTGTGAAGATTGGTATTAGTTCTTTAAATGTTTGATAGAATGCTAGAATTCTGTTGTGAAGCCATGTGGTCTTGGATTTTTCTCTTCTTTGTTGTTCTTTTTTATGTTTTACCATTTCTTATTCACATTTAATTAGCCATCTCTATACCACCATTTTGTTTTTCAAAGTATGCATGCAGTATGTGGCAATCAAATCAAGGATATTAACTGTATATATTTTTAATACACACACATATATGTAAAATTTTCAGCAATCCCTGATCTTCATATTCTTTTTTTTTTTTGGAGAGATTTTCACTATAGGGCGCGTGCGCTCGCCAGACAGACAGACAGAGACATAGAGAAGGAAAGCAAGAAATCACCCCCCAGGGGGGATGGTCATGCCGCAATCCCTTCTCCTCCATTCTCCTCTCGGGATTTTGGGCACTCACGCACACGTGCCTGGCGTGAGTTTTAAGCCACTGGGTCCAGGACACGAACCACGGTCGACTACGTGGGAGTCCAGCGACATAGCCATTACGCCAACTGGTGGTTCCCAACCTGATCTTCATATTCTTATGTCCGTTAATTATTTCTTCCCTGACACCCTGTCACTCGCCCCCTACTATCCACCCACCTCACACAAACACGCTGTTCCTCCCTTTTATTGTATCTTCAGATCTTTCCATTTCTGCCATAGAGTGCAAATATTGGGTATATGTTGAGCATGGATAGCCAACGTTTATCTTTCTTTCATAGTCTGACTTACTTTGCTTATTATTTTATTTTGGAGAGGTTTTTGCTATAGAGCCTGTGCACTCACCAGAAAGACAGAGACAGAGACAGAAAGCGAAAAATCACCCCCTGGGGGATGGCCATGCCGCAATCCCTTCTCTTCCGTTCTCCTCTCAGGATCTTGGGCACGCATGCACATGCGCCCAGCGTGAGTTTAAGCCACTGAGCCCGGGACTCGAACAGCAGTTGACTACATGGGAGTCCAGTGACATAGCCATTATGCCAACTGCTGGTCCCTTATTCTTAAATCTTCTATATTCGTCTACTTTGTACCAAATGACAGGGTCTATTGTTCTTTATGACTGAATAATAATTATTGGTAGATAAAGACTCATTACTGGCTTTTTTTTTTCTTTTTACTGTTTTATAGTTCTTTTATTTCTTCCAAGCTTTCTTTCTTTGTGATATGCTGTGTCTTTGTGGTACTATGTTTTGATTCCTTATCTTCATCTTTTGTGTATCTACTAGAATTTTTTTCTTTGTAGCTACCATAAGGCTTGCATAAAACATCTTATAGCTAACGTGTCCTAATTTAAGCTAATAGTACTTAAACTTAAGTTCAATCACATACAAAAACTAAGCTTTATTCCTGTCCCAAGCTGCATAGATTTTGTGGACAGAAAATCTTGTCGTAGGTTTTTAGGAAATTGCCAAGTGTCCCAGGCAGCAGTTTCACACTTGGTTGTTCGTGAGGATCATTTGGGTTGCTTTTAAAAATAAAGATTACGGGGCTCTGTGCCTAGTTGGTAGGACTGGGTTAGGTCTGGGGATGTTTTGGGGAACCAAGTGCACTGGAATCTTTCTGGCCAATAATCCAGAGAACATGTCTGTGCTGTATTCTAGAGGCAGTAGGCCTTTAGGAATGTCCTTGTCTCTCCTATATTGTTCTGCCAAGTGCATGCAGGCCTGTCTAGTGAATATAGGTACACTTAACAAGGTGTTCAGTAGCTTGTCTTTTTTGAAAATACAAATATAAAGCAAGCCGTAAACATGTTTACTATTGTATGTTTAAGTTGTAAACTCATATATAATAAATTATGCCTATATTTTAGACATGACTTATTCATGTTCTTTTTTTTCATTTTTAGTTTTTTCTTTCACTGTATGGACATAAACTGCCTGTTATATGCATGGACATCTCTCATGTAAGTAAAGTTTAAATAATGTTTCAATTACAAGTTATCTTTTCAGAAGCAGATAATTTCTCATTTTTTGGCTTCATGTCTTCACTTTAGATTATTTATTTTTATCATTCGCTTGTATGTTCAACATTCTTCAGTTTATATTATGACCATATCTGAAATGTATTACTTCAGTGTTTTCAGAATAATTTTACAAATATCATTTTAATTAATCCTCATAACTTCCTGTTGTGGCTTTGCCAAATAGTACTTTGTTGTCTAAATACTATAATTGGTAGGGGAACTTTTTAAAAACTTTAAAAAAGGACTCCCCCTGTGTTCTGAAGAATAATATCAGTGAGGAATAAACAAACCTATCTTTATATTTGTATATTATAGCATTTTACAGTATATATAATTTTAGTCTCATGACCCAAATTATCTTTTCCAGTGTCTAGTTGTGAGTAGGCATGGCAGCGTAAGTTTAAAGACAGTATCTTCTATGTGAAAGCAATTAGCCCCATAGCTATCTATGATCATTTGCACTAACAAAATTGTTAGTGTTATAGTAAAATATTTCCATTATTCCCGTTATGTTGACAACCATATGAACTTGGCATTGAAGTAGAAAAAATAGGACCAGCAGGTGGCGTAATGGTTACATCGCTGGACTCCCAGATAGTTGACTGTGGTTTGAGTCCCGGACCCAATGACTTAAGACTTATGCCAGGTGTGTGTGCCCAAATCCCAAGAGGAGAATGGAGAGGGGATGGTGATGTGGCCATCCCTCCTAGGGGTGCTTTCTCACTTTCTGTCTCTTTGTCTCTCTTTGGTGAGTGTACACGCCCTATAGCAAAAATCTCTTTTAAAAATAAAAAAGGAAGTAGACAAGAGAGGGAAAATCAGTGACAAGTGACATAGGATAAAAAGCTCAGACACAAACACTGTAGTCGGTTCTTTCCTAGCCTCATTCTTTCCTCTTTTTCCTCTTGCCCTCTTCCATTCTTACCCCAAATCCCATGCCAGAGATTATAGTTCTTTTTCTCATCTACTTAATAAATATATAACCTTACATCAAGGCATGACCCTGCCTTTTGGCAGTACAAAAATATGTAAACCACCAAGTTTTTGCTTTCACTTAAACAAGCTTAAGTAGTTCTGTAGGTAAACGTGAAGAATTAGGTGTTCTTAGTAGAGAGATGAAATTGATTTTTGACCTTATTTTAGTGTTTTGAAAGCATAGGTTAAATGTTCTGGTTAGCTTTTATTTAACTAAATCACAGAATTCAAATATCAAGCAGTGTTTCACTTCTCTTTCTCACAGGATGGAGCATTAATAGCAACTGGCTCTGCGGACAGAAATGTGAAAATCTGGGGCATGGACTTCGGGGACTGCCACAAGTCTCTGTTTGCACATGATGACAGGTAGGTACAGTCTTTTCAAACGCCTCCTTTTGAGTCACCTCCAAGTATCATTTCCCCAGAGCATCTGTGTCTGTTAATTACTTAGTGTTCTGAGACAGTGATAAATGGAGAGGTCTAAAATGTAGTCCAGACACTCTAGAACTAGCTAGTTGAAAATCATTTATGTGTGCAAGACTCTTTTTACTAACCTAGAATCTGATACATTTGAATAATTCTCTAACTTTTCAGTGTGATGTACCTTCAGTTTGTACCCAAGTCTCACCTCTTCTTCACCGCTGGGAAGGATCATAAGATTAAGCAGTGGGATGCAGACAAATTTGAACACATACAAACTCTGGAGGTAACCAATTGTTTACTTTGCCTGCTTGGTACTTAAGGATTTCTTTTCAGAATATTTACGTTACCCACTAATGTAAGCAGGTAGCAGTGTGAGAATGAGGTATTTTTACTTTGGTTTGTTTTTTTCTTTCTCTAGGGGCATCATCAGGAAATATGGTGTTTGGCTGTAAGCCCCAATGGAGACTATGTTGTATCATCATCCCATGACAAATCTCTGAGACTCTGGGAGAGAACTAGAGAACCTCTTATTCTTGAGGAAGAAAGAGAGATGGTAAGAACTTCAGGCTTAATTACGAATATTTGGGTGGGTCTGACAGGCTGTCCCAGCTGACAGTTTTCTGTATAGTGCAGTCACGCCTTATTGATTCCAAGTCTAAGAACCCCTAGGAAACTTTTCCAAGACTTGAGTCACCCATTGCAGAAGCCAGGCAGAGATAAAGATGCCTTTAGAAGATTATAGTTTGAAAGCAGCAGTTTCATTGACTCTCACTTACAGAGAAACCATCTTTTTCTCTCTCAAATTAACTTGAAATATCTATCTTGTGGCAGCAAAGGGAGGCAGAATATGAGGAGAGTGTGGCCAAAGAAGACCAACCAGCAGTAAGTAATCTTTTGGAACCCTGAGATTATGCACTATAATTTTCTTATGGAAATTTACCATAACTTCGAGAGTTTCTAATGGAATTATTGATAGAATTGGGGGTAGAAACTGGAGGGATTACCAGCTGATATGAGAAAGAATCTGTATAACCCTTTAATATATGTATTAATTTTGGGGGACATGTAATTAACCAAATTTGGTACTGAATAATTGTCAGTTTGCCTTTTTTTTTTTTTAAAGGGGGCATCTAGGAATTAATTCACTATGGAACAAAACTGTGAATAATTGGACATTCTTTGAACATCTGCAAAATATTCTAATGATAAATATGAACTAGTGTCTTACACTTAACTAAATGTTCCGTTGATGGTAGCTAATAATACTGTTATCATTTCTTAAAGTCATACCTGTTCTTTTATGGATATAAAATGAATTTACTAGCTCTGTAACTCCTATGAACAATATTGGCTAAGGATCTCTGTTTCTGGCAGGTTCCAGGGGAGACACAAGGTGACAGTTACTTTACTGGAAAGAAAACTATTGAAACAGTCAAAGCAGTAAGTTGAAAAAGAATGTCAAGTTTCATTTTTTAATAGAATCCCAATTTTTTAATAAAAAATCTTATTGTGTATTAAGCACATAGCACTTTTGTGGCAAAAGTTGATGAACTTTTTAAAGGTAGCAGTCAAAACCCCTGTTTCCTTCTCTTACAACAAAGGACAGAGTAGTCCTGAATCCGGTCAGTCAGTGCATGGTTTCTAGAAAGGAGAGCCTGAATTCCCCTGAACGTAACCCCTCTCAGAAGTAGTATTGAAGTATCTACATGTGCTCTCACTTGAGTCCATGATACTTCATTTCTTCCCCATAAATTAAAAAAAAAAAAAGCCAGCTTTATGGCCTGATGATTAAGGCAGTCAGATCCTACATGGCTGACCCCATAGTTTGAGTTTGGGATCCAGCAGTCTGGGCCCATGTGTGCCGAAATCCCAACAGAATGTAGAAATGGAGGAAAAGGGATTGTGGTGTGACCATTCCCTATGAGGGAGGGGTGCTTTTTCCTTTCCCTTTCTCTTTGTTTCTCTCTCTGGTGAACATACATACCCAGTCACAAAAGAAGGGGAAGGAAAGGAGAGCTGGGAGGGTTAGGAAAAAAGAAAAGAAAGGAAAAAGGAAAGAAAAACGAAGACATCTTTAAATGCTGTTTGGCACTCTATTGACAAATTTTATTAAACTGGTTCAGTATGTTTCATTTGGCAAGTTCTAGTCAAGCCTTCTTCCAGTTTCAGTGTCTTGGGATGATGGAGTGTGTGTGGTGTTTTCTGTCCTTTGTCATTATCTTATAGGCTGAGAGGATCATGGAGGCTATTGAGCTATACCGAGAAGAAACTGCAAAAATGAAAGAACACAAAGCCATCTGTAAAGCTGCAGGGAAAAAAAACATAGTCCATTAAGTTACACTCTGGGAAATATTTATAAATTGGGAGAATTTTTGAGAAGAAACCCATTTTCTCTGGATTTATCTCAGACCACTATTTGAGATAAATGCAGTAGGATCTTCTCTGATTCAAATATTTTAAGAAATTGAGGACAAAAAAGGGAAGGACCAGAAATAGATTGCAGTGATTATTATTGTGTTGAGTAGAAATTCATTTTTCTACTTTGGTTCAAGAGGTAGGATATCCAGTTAAGACTTCTAGATAAAACATTTTGTCCAGACTCATTTGTAAGTACTATAGAAACTAAAAGGCTTGATAATTCTTTCACACTTTGTTTTTATGGTCTCTTCTATCTTCAGAATTGTAAAATACTATTATCAGTCTGTCTGTGACAAGTGCTATTGAAGTCATTTTTTAATTACTTGATTTAATTTCTTCATAGGTTCCTCTTCCCACCAACCCCATCCTGATGGCTTATGGCAACATCTCAGTGAGTGGAATGTCTTAACAGTTTCCTCCTTGGTTATTCAAAGGGTGCTGTCAGGTACAGAAGAGGAAGTGTAGTGAGATTATGATCTGGGGATGGATGTATTGGGAAACACTGCCTTTTAGACACACTACTGAATGTGGCAGCTTCTAGAATAGTTTATATTTCAAAAGGACCACTTTAGAATTACTTCCTAAGTAAGGCTTTTAGTTGAACTAGACTGGCATTCTGGTGTTTGTTATATGCTCAGTGTCCAAAACCCTCTGAAGATTCTGTTGATTGAAAATGAACTTTGAAATATGCCTTTGGTGGAAAAGGTAACGTAAATCAGATAAAGGAAGAGAGTACTGGGAGAGTGTGTGTTTATGTAGCAGTCTCCAATTATTTAGTATTTCACTTGTGTGTCTCATTTATTACAGTAGCTATGTGAGTCTGCGTATCATCATTTCACAGATAAGGGAACAGGTCCAGTTCATAAGGTGACTTAGTTGGTAGGGGGCAGCACTCAATTACGAGCCCAGATCTGGCTAAACCCATGTAGGTCTTGCCATTTTAGAGTGATGTTTTCCAAGTGAGAGAAAGGGGTTCCTGTTTTTTAGGAAATGGATATCAGAGAACTTTAGTAGAACTAGCCAAGAGTCTCAGTAATGGTGTTTTCCTTCCTTTGCAGCCTTCAGCTTATGTACTAGAGATTTTTAAAGGAATCAAGTCAAGGTGAGTCCTAGACCACTATTGTAATTTGTAAGCTTTTAACATTTATCATAAGCTTATCTTAATATGAAATAAATAGAAATTATTATTGATGGCTATATTGCTTACAGGTTTAAGAAATATGTCAAACTTCTGATATAAAATAATTCATTACAATGTTCTTTTTGATGTGTTAGAACGAGGAGGCTTCTAAAGAATGGCGGGAGACGGAGATGCTTTAAAGGACAAATGAAGGGTTGTAGTTTAGGTGGCAGTAAATGAAATAATATATAATTCAATCAGAAGTAACTGTTAATGTTTTTTGTTTTATATTTCCTTTGGCTTATTTTCTGTGTACATACATAGTTGGGATAGTACCACATACAGTCTCCTGAACATTTGCTTATGCTGTTAATATTTTTTAAAAACACAGTGAATTCAAAATATTCCATTGTATAATAACTATTGGATATTGCATTTGTTTCTCATTTTTTATTGGCAGTAATATGTCAGTTAACATCTTTATACATAAATCTTTGTCTTCATCACTTTTTTAAGAGTCTTAATAGCCTAATAATTAATCAGTTGGCATGAGCTTTTAAAAGGTTGAATTATTTTCCAGAGTGCTTGTACTATTTGTGTGTGTGTAGTTTTTTGCTATAGGGTGCTGTGCTTGCCTACCAGATTGGACCTGGGGCGGAGGGACTGAGAAAGCACCCCCTAAAGGGGATGCTCACATCACAGTCCCTTCTTCTTCATTCTCCTTGGGATTTTGGGCACTCAGGCACATGCCTGATGTGTTTTTCAAGCCTCTAGGCCTGGGACTTGAACCACATAGTTGGTCATGTGGAATCCAGCCACCTTAAACTCTGAGCCATCTGCTGGCCCAAGAGTGCACTTCTTGTACTATATTTAACCAAGCTTTTTTTGCCAGTTTAAGAGGCAAAAGGTGGCTTTGCATTATTTTCATATCTCTTGATTATTAATGCAGTTAAAATTTTGCATTTGTTGGGCATTTGTATTTTTTTCTATAAATTTCAGTGATTTTTAGTAATTTTTTTTATTGCTTTTAAGAATTCTTTATAGTCTGTCCTTTCTTTTAGAATAATGTTATCTTATTTGTGATGTATCTTTTGATTTTATGAGTTAGGCCTCGTTAAGGTGATAAACTTGTTAAGGATATATCTATTAAATTGATTAAGTTCATATCTACATATATCCTTAATAACAAATGAACATGACCTATCTGAGGATAATGATGAGACTTCACTAAAGAAATGTAAAAGAAAATTAATTAATGGAGCAACAGTACATTCCAGGATGGGAAGATCCTGAGTTTGAAAGCATTTTTCTTAAATCAGTTTGTGGGTTTGTGATCCCAATTGAAAGAGGTTTCTAATTGGAATTGATGAACCAATACTAGAGCTAGTTATAGAGGGAGCTATTCTCCTAGGTTAAAAAGTTGTAAAATTGCCAAACTTAAAGTAGTGCAGGATTGGTGCATGATTAATCAATCATCATAATAGACTTAAAAGCCCTGAAACATACTCTTGTGCCTAAGGACTCAAATATGGTAAAAGAAATACCATATCACGTGTTCAACAGAGGGGGCTTTAGAGAAATTTTCTGTCTGGAGGAAAAAATAAATTCTCCTACAATTCCATGGACCAAAATGCATTCCTAATAGGTTAAAATATTAAATATAAAGGACAACACATCGAAAAGAGAGAATCATCTAAACCGTAGATGGATATTTAATTCTAAGTGGGCCAGGTCTATTGTAATAGCAGTAGAAAATAATAGTAAAGGAAAAAATTTTTAAATTGGCCATGTTAAGAAATGCAGCATGTTTAATACTTATTTTTTCTCTTTCAGTGAGCTGGAAGAATCTCTACTTGTGCTGCCTTTCTCTTATGTCCCAGACATTCTTAAGCTCTTTAATGAATTTATCCAGCTTGGTACTGACATTGAACTACTCTGTAGGTGCCTTTTCTTCCTCCTCAGGTAAGGAATGTCCATTTCCTGACAGTAGCATGTCTGCTCAGCAGAACTGCTCCAGTAGTACCTTATAAAGCTTTCTGTGCTTTGAGTTTCAGAAATCTTACATTTCAGTTTCAGAATTTCAGTATAGTCTGACATAAAATACTTATCCTTCGGAATCAGTTTTGCCTTTAAAACAAGGATAGTGACTTACTTCCTAGGTAGTAGCAAGAGGACAATTTTTTTTTTCTTTTTTTGAGAGGTTTATGCTATAGGGCACGTGTGCTCGCCAGACAGAGAGAGATACAGAAAGCGAGAAATCACCCCCCAGGGGGGATGGCCACGCCACAATCCCTTCTCCTCCATTCTCCTCTCGGGATCTTGGGCATGCATGCACATGTGCCCGGTGTGAGTTTTAAGCCACCGGGTCCGGGACTCGAACCGTGGTCGACTACATGGGAGTCCAGCTACATAGCGATTACTCTAACTGCTGGTCCCAGAGGACAATTATTTTTATATTCTATTGCCATATTTATAATTTTGGGCAAATTGAATAAATTGATATTCAGTGATTTTACCAGTAATTTCTTACTGCTGTGGCTGATGTGCTATTGGATCAGAGTCGCCGGTTCTGTCAGAATACTTATAGTGTATCAGACGGTTGTTGATGGCACTGCTTGACTGGTAGATGTGGCAGGGTCATCAGACGTTTCTTGGTTGGTAATCTAGATCAGAGTTTGACCCTCAAATGGGGAAGAACTCTTTCTTATTGTGACTTTATTTTTATTGATTTGACATTCTTTCTTTTTTTCTTTAGGGGATGTACCCTTAACATGTAGAGACAGACAGAGAGGGAAAGTGAAATCACACTCTGGGGAAGAAGATGGCCATGCCACAGTCCCTTCTCCTCCATTCTCCTCTTGGGATTTTGGACATATATGTGACATGCACCCAGTATGCTTTTAAGCCACTGGATCCAGGACTCAAACTGTCCAGTCAGCCATGTGGAATCCAGTCACTTTAACCTGTGTGCCACCTGCTGGCCCAAGATAGCATTTCTTAGAAAGCACCTTCTATCTCTGAGCTTTCCATAAAATATTGTCAAAATCTGGGGCCACGTGGCAGATGCTGGAAAAAGAGTTAGCTCTGCAACTGAGTAAAACATCTAATAATGTTTAGGGTGGTAGATTTTAAATTGTCATCAAATTGAACTGAATAGTTTGGAAAGAAACTTCTTTAGCTTTTTTTTTTTTTTTTTTCTAGAAGCATTTCTGCATTTCCATGATAGTTAATCTGTATTTTTGTTTTTGCTTTGATAGTTTGCCATTTCTAGAAGCTATAGACAGGGCTCTAATCTCTTTTTGCAATGTGGCAATAATTTGTTTTTCTGTTAGGATTCACTTTGGACAGATCACTAGCAACCAGATGCTTATACCGGTGATAGAAAAATTAAAAGAAACAACTATTTCAAAAGTCACCCAAGTCCGGGTAAGTGTCTTTGTATAGAGATCTAATAATGAGGCTAATCTTAGTGTGTATGTGAAGCAGGATAGTATGTTGTGCTTTTTTGTCTTTTGTAATACCAGCCATGTATAAATCTGTGTCTGAACTAGTTTTTGTTGAAGCTGCTAGGAATAGAATAAGCACAAATAAGAAACGTCCTTAGTGGTGCCTGCAGGTGGCATGGGGTTTAATGGCGCTGGACTCACACATGGCCAATTGGGGTTTGAGTCCCGGACCTGGCGGCTTGCTTTCTCACTTTTTTTTCTCTCTCTCTTTCTCTCTCTTTCTCCCTTTCTCCCTTCTCCTCGCCTTTCTCCCTTTCTGGTCAAATTAAATAAAGTTAAATAAAATAATTCTTTTAAAAAAAAAGAAAAGAAAAAGAAACATCCTTAGCAAGGGAAGGATGAGTAATAATTCCTGATGCTTTGGTTCCTCTGACTTAAATATGCTGTTGTACTCAACTAAAGTGGGAGTTTTTTCATCTTTCCTGTGTTCTTCCCTAGGATATTATCGGCTTCAATATGGCAGGTCTGGATTATCTCAAGAGGGAATGTGAGGCAAAAAGTGAAGTTATGTTTTTTGCTGATGCTACTAGTCAGTTTGAAGAAAAGAAGAGGAAGAGGAAAAAGAGGGAGAAGCTTATTTTAACATTGACTTAGAACTGGAGTGGGGTTCCTTTTCTACTTTTTCCTTTAAAGGGCTTCTCAACGAAACAGCAGTAGGATTGGTGTCATCTTAAAAATACCAGCCAGCAAAAGATCTCAGGATGTGGTCCCCAGCTTTGCCTGAGGGAACTCCAACATGGGGCTGTGGACTGTCTCCATTTCTTGGACTTGATGACATGATAAGTTTAGAAATCTTTCTGTGTTTTGAAAGTTTGAGCCCTGTGGGAGTTAATCCTTTTATATTTGCTAACATGGAGTAAAGACTTAAATGAGGTATTTCACTGGAGTTGAAATGAACATTTCAGATGTTTTTCACATTTCTTATGGCAGATAATTATATGATTTGTTACTTTTGTATTAGGTTTACCTCTTATTGAGACAATTATGTGCATAATGGTTTGCCCCTTTGTCTATAAATGAATGCGGTATCTTAGACTTTTGGAATTAACAGGAATTATTAGGTCCAACAGACTTATCAAGAGCAGCCTCCTTAAACTTAACCTCATACAGGTTCTTACATTTGTATATAAGATCATAATTGCAGTTTATACTTGTCCGAATAAAATAGCTGTTTCTAATGAAAGTTTTGTGATTAATACTATATCTACATGGGAGAGATTGGAGGTGGTGGCAATGTTCTAGAAAAAGGTTGACACACGTACCTCTGGGCCTGGGCTTTTCTTTGTGAAAGTCTTTACATTATTAGTTCAGACCCCTTGTTACAGGTTTGTGCAGATTTTCTGTATATTTTTGAGACAGTTTTGCTGTCTATGTGTCTGTGAGTCACTCTTATTCATCTGAATTACTGTTATGCTACCCATTTTTTTTCTAGGCACAGAGCTAGTTTTTGTGGCTCGGCAGTTTGTTTTCCAAATGATAAGTCTTTTAATGTTATTAAGCATAACACAATCGCCGAAGTGAGGAAAGAAATATAGTGGTATTATTGGTTGGTCAGAATTAAAATTGTGAATTTTGGCATATAGTTCTGAAGGCTTCACTTAATGAAAAATAAGAGACTAGATAGTATGATGCATTCTGAGTACTTTCCGTGAAGTTAAGCAGTTACTCCTGTCACCAGAGAAAAGACTTATTTAATTTCTAAAAAAAGAGTCTTAATTTTAATTCTTGTTGAAAACAGATGCTAAGTCCATGTCCTTTGTGTCACAGTTTCTTAGAGTTGTTCATCAGAACATAAATTACATTTTCTATTAATGTTTTTGATGGTTTATAAACCAAAACAAGTTCTAGGAGGGCACCCTAGATGTAGATGTCATTAATAATTGCTCTTATGTTGAAAAATGCTACTAAGTTGGGATTGATATGGCTAACTAAAAATATACCCTGACATCACTCTCTGGGAAGAGAGGCTAAAAACAGTTGAATAAACTTCCAGCAAAGTAGTGAAGTGATACTGATGACGTGCAAGAAAGAGAGAGTGTGAACTTCTGGAGGAGAGAATCACCAGCTGGAAAAGTAGAGAAATCAATCACATAGGATCCTTCCTTCCAACAGGGAAGAAGGTAGCAGGAATTTTCTGGAACTCTGAATTCCAGATTTCCACCTCGGATCCTGCACTCCCCCCTCCTGCAGAATAATGAGTCTGCCAGTATGGAGCTAGCACATATAATAGGGAAGAATGTGGATATACCACTTTAGACATAACATTACACCTCCTACCGTATCCTCACCCCAGCCACAAGAACTCAGCACCGTCTTATGAGCTGACCAGCATGTGGGGTTTTGTTGACATTCAGGAACAGGCAATCTGGGCATTTCCACAGCCCTGCAAGAGCAGAGGATGCAATACCAAAGGAGAAGCTCCTGGAACTGGGAGAAATGGGGTGAACACCCCCAATGACACACCTACTGGTACCCTTGCCCCCACCAGCAATCAAGAACTCTACATCACTACCACTCCCACCAGAATGTACAAGAGCACTACCATCCCAACAAAGATTGAAGAATCTGGACACTTTCCTTCTCTTCAGATTTAAGTCCTGGAGCTAATCACTCCAACTGACGCCACCCATAATGCAGCTCTTCTGAACCTCCCTGAACTGGAAGTGTGGGCAAAAGAAAGGATAAGGAGTGCTTGACAAGAGAGGAGGATACCATAGATTCTCCCCTCCAGGTCAGAGGGGAAAAAACACTGTCCCACACCACCTCCCAAGCCTGGAGTGTACAATCCAGCCATTTAATTCCTACAGGAGTCTATTCAAACCAATTAGCCTTCTTGAATCCCAGACCCTACAGATTGCACACTTTGATAAGATCCTCAAAGAAAGGTTTGCCTCTGGCCCCTCTTTGATTACCTTCTAGGATCACATTCATGTTCAGAGGGTCACACCACCTCTGGGTGTTCCACACAGGTCACACACAGCCTACTGCTGTGTCTAACAGATAAATTTGCCTTTGGCCCCTTGATTAACCTTGGCAGAATTACATTCGAGAATGGAAGGTCATCCTGCCTCTAGGTGTTACATGCAGGCCACTCAGGGCCTATTTTTTGTGTCTCATAGATAGACTTGCCTCTAGCACCTCCTGGACAAACTTTCCAGGACTACAGTCAGGTCTAAAAGGTCAGTCTGCTGCCAGAAATTAGAGGCAGGATACATAAGCCTGGCTTGAGCCTGAAAGGCACAGCTGGACGCTGGGCCCTTCTAGAACACCTGTCAGAACCAGACTCAGGTCCACAGACAGTAGGCAGGCACAGGAGGCTCCACAGGACAGGCTGATTTTTGCTTCCTCCCAGCCACATTCTGGCTTTGAGAGTGGCACCACCACTGGGTGTTACATGCAGGTCACATAGGACTTGGGTCTCATAGGTAGGCCATCATCTGGGGCCTCTTGGACCACATGGCTAGGACTCCACTTGGGTCTGGAAAGTCTCTCTGCATCTAGATCTCACACACAGGCTATGTATGCTCCAATCTGAAAGACAACTGGTTTCCAGCCCCTCCTGGACTACCTTACCAGGGGCACCCTTGGAACTTAGTGCTGTCCTGCCTAATGGCTTTATGAAACTACTCCAAACTTAGGAAGAAGCAATTACTCCATCATATGGCCAAAAATCACTGTGAGGACACAGACACACAGACACACACCCACACACACACACACAAAGGGACTCTTCCAAAAGAACATAGTAACTCCTCACCAACAATGGATAAAATACTGGAAATATTGGAAAATGAATTCGGAATGTCGATGATAAAGCTCAATGAGATATAAGAAAAAAACAAAGCAATTCCAGGAGACAAGAAAATTATTTCATGATATGAAAGGAGGAACTCTGTAAAGAAATAGACACCTTAAAGAAACTTTTGGAGGTGAAGAACAGAAAACAGACTCTGCCAAATGTATCAGCAATAGATCAGACCATGAAGAAGAAAGTCTGATGAGTGAGAAGACCCAACCTCCATTAAGTTCAAGATGTCAAAAAGAAAAAAAATAAAAAATGAAGACAAAATACAGGAAATGTGGGACACCATTAAGTGGCCAAATGTCCACATAATTGGGTATCCTAGAAGGCTAAGAGACAGGCAAGGGCAAAAAAGATCTCTTTTATGAAATACTATCTGAAAACTTTCAAAGTCTAAACAGACATCCAGATTAACTTTGGGAAATTCAAATACTAAATAGATTCAACTTAAGATTCTCTCCAAGGTATATATCTCAGATGGCAAAAGTCAGACACAAAGATACGATTCTAACAATGGCAAGTTACTTATAAAAGATACCCTATATGACTAGCCTCAGGACCCTCTACAGAAACAATGCAGTCAGAGGGGAATGGAAAGACATTAAAAATTGTGAACGAAAAAAAAAAAAAGTTAACCAAAAATGCTATACCCAGCAAGATTATTCATCAAGTGGGAAAGAGATATAAAGTCATTCCCAGAATTCACCAACTCTAGACTTGGTCCTCAAGAAATCCTTAAGGAGGGAGTATAAATCAGGAAATCAAAAGGGAGATAAATAAGGAAACAAAACAACTAAGAACATAACTAGGAAAATGGTAGGGGTAAGTATATCAATAACCTTGACCATAAGTATTGTAGATTAAATAGTCCAGTTAAAAAACACAGACCGGCTGGGTGGATTAAACATCAGATGTCTTTTATATGCTACTATTAAGAAACACCATTGATAAAGACACACAGATGGAAAGTGAAGGGCTGAAAAAAGTCATTTTATACAAATGGAGAAAAGAAAAGCACAAGTCATAATACTGATAGCAGACAAAATAGACTTCAAGCTAAAAACTATAGAGACAGAGAAGGTTACTATGTAGTATTAAAGAGATTAATTCACAAAGAAGATACAAACATTAAAGAGACATGGGAGCTAAACAATACCATAAATCAAATGAACCTGACAGATATTTCATCCAACAGTGAGAAAACACATTTTTCTCAGCCCCACACAGAACATTTCTGAAGACTACATAATAGGTCACAAAACAAGGTGTTACTAATTTAAAATAATAAAAAATCATATCTGCCATCTTTTCTGACCACAATGGAATTAAATTTGAAAACAACAGAAAGAGCCTTTAAAAATATACAAATAGGGACCTGCAGTTAGTGTAATGGCTATGTCACTGGACTCCCACGTAGTCGACCGCGGTTCGAGTCCCGGAGGGCTTAAACTCATGCCAGGTGCGTGTGCGTGCGTGCCCAAGATCCCAAGAGGAGAATGGAAGAGAAGGGATTGCGGCGTCGCCATCCCCCCTGGGGGGGGGGTGATTTCTCACTTCTGTCTCTCTGTCTCTGTCTGTCTGGCGAGCACACGCAGCCGATAGCAAAAACCTCTCAAAAACAAAACAAAACAAAACAAAAAAACAAACCCACGAATATTGGGACCAGCAGTTGGCATAATGGCTATGTCACTGGACTCCCACATAGGTGACTGGGGTTCTAGTCCTGGACCTGGTGGCTTAAACTCATGCCACATGCGTGTGCGTGTGTGCCCAAGATCCTGACAGGAGAATGGAGAAGGGACTGTGGTGTGGCCATTCCCCCTGGGGTGGTGATTTCTCGCTTTCTGTCTCTCTGTCTTTCTGGCGAGCACACACACCCTATAGCAAAAAACTCAAAAAAAAAAAAAAAAGACTAAATACATGGAAATTAAACAATTCATTCTTGAATAACTTTGAAACTACTGAAAAAATAAAAATTGAAAATTTCTTGAAACAAAAGATAACAAAAACACAATATTCCAGGATCTTTAGGACATAGCAAAAACAGTCTTAACAAAAAGAAGATGGCAAACAAATAACCTAATGATGCATCTTAAGAACCTTGAAAAAGCAAGAACAACCTCCCCCCCTCAAAAAAAAGTAACAGGATAAAAAGAAATGATAAAGATTAAAGCAGAAATAAGTGAAATAGAGAATAAAAGGATTTTACCATAATAATAATAATAATAATAATAATAACAGTACTGGCTATTTGAGAGGAAAAACAAAAGAGACAAACCATTAGCTAGACTAACCAAGAAAAATATTATAAGGAACCATATGCCAACAAAGTGGAAAACCTAGAAGAAATGGACAAATTTCTGGACACAATATACCTAGATTGAACCAGCAAGAAATAGCCTGAATAGACCAATAACAATGTTATACATTAATTCAGTAATCGTTTCCTAACAAAGGAAAACACAGGTACCCACTCCTTAATTATACAGAACTATAAGTTTTTGCCATTGGGTGTGTGCACTCGTTGGAGAGAGATACAGGAAGAGTGAGAAATCACACCCAAGGGAGATGGCCATGCTACAATCCCTTCTCCATCCTTTCGAGGTTTTGGGCATGCACACATGCTCCTGGTGTGACTTTTCGAGCTGTTGTATTCAAGACTGAAACTGGTAGGCCATGTTGGAATCCTGCGCCTTAACTACCATGCCGCCTGCTGGCCCCAATTCTATATAACTTTTAAGGAGGAGTTAACACCAATTCTCCTCAAACTGAAAATCTAAATGGGGCCATCTGATGGTGGTTTAGGTAACTGGATCTTACATAGCCAACTGCCTGGTTTGATTCCTGGGCCCAGCTGCTTGAGAAACTACTCCAGCTGCAGGGAGAAATAGAGGGGAAGGCACTGCAGTTACTATTCCTCAGGGATGGTGCTTTCTCAGTGTCCCTCTCTTTATCTTTTCTCTGTTTGTATCTCTGGAGAGCATATACACTCTGTAGAAATTATTTTTAAAAAGCTATAGGTAACATTAAAGGCACTTCTGATGAGGCCTCAGAAAAGAGAAATCAAGCATGTGGATAGAAAACCTGCTGGAGAGATTAGGCGAATATTGCGGCATCCTATCAATCTAGCAGAAGCCAGGTAGACACTAGGAATAGCGGTTACCTAAGAAGAATCGATGAAGAACCCTGATGACTAATGGTGTTGGCCTTGACAGCCACTGAAGACTGACACGTTTTTCAGAGTGTTATGTCAACAGAAACCTTATCACCTTTGACTGAAGGAGAGACAAGATAACAGGGAGAGACTGTCAAGAAATTACATAAGCAGAAAACTGGCTACCTGGAGGTAGGACTGCTGTTCAGAATTGAGGCTGAGGGCCAAGAAGGTGGGGCTGCTTGTCTCTCAGGGCCCTGAGGTGGGGTGGTTGGGGTCTCTGTGAGCAGAGGATGGACTAAGCCATAGCTGACAATTCTGATCTTAAAACCTAGTAGAATTTGCCCTGCTGGATTACATACTTGCTTTAGACCAGTGACTCCTTTATTCTTTCTACTTTCTCCCTCTACCTTAATGCTAGGTTTGAGGAAGAATGGATAGTCATGCAAAAATGTAGTACTCCAAAGAGGATATGATTTAATGGTAATAAATTAGGAGAAGCCCAGCAAGGCTGGTTTGTTCAGATTTTTCTCTGACCTTTCCTCTTCAGGGATAAGGATGTTCCTTTCCTCTTGGTATAGGAAGGAAAACAGTCACACGAAAGTCACATGTTCTGCTTCAGAGGAAGGTCAGAAAAAATTTCCTAGGTTTTATGACCTGCTTGAGTTAAAAAGGTCAGGAGAATGTCAGAGAGCCTTCTTGCACATGCTCATATTACTTCAGCTTTAAATATTTAATATACCCGAGGTATTACTGTTTTAAAATAAATTTAATTTTTTTCCTGGCTTTAATTCTAATTTGGTAGATATTGATATCCACATAAACAAAAGTTCTTTGGGATCCTGAATAATATTTAAGAATATAAAAGGAATACTAAATCCAAAAAGTTTGAAAACCACTGGCTTAATTATAAATTGTCAAGTCTAAAAGGGACACCTTGGTGTTTTTGTTACCACTTTTTGAAGTAAGAGCAACTTAAATTTTTTTTAACTATTATTTCTATTTTACACATAATGTATATATTTATGGATTAACAATGATTTTTCAGAACTATCCGTTGTGTACTGATCTGCAATGGAGAACGTACTTAATTTCAGAATCACATTGAATTATGTTAGATTTTTACTTGATTGAGGCTTCATTTCCTTATTTATAAAATGTGAAAAATATCTATCTTATGGGCAGCATGAGAATTAGTTTTGATAATATATACTAAGGGTAACCGTTGTAGTTATTAAAAACAGGTATTTTCATTCCATGATGCTAAGTGGCTTATTAGTTTCTAGCTGAAAGAAAGGAACAAACCTGAGGTTTAAGGCCCAGAATGGAATGATTGGCAGTCAAATTCCCACTATTACTTACCGGATCTAATGTGGAGAAACTCTACGAGACATGAAGACTCCAAGTGTAGAGGAAGAAATTGTAGAAGTCCTCTGGACCATAGGATTTTCTTTTCCCTGGGGAAACTCTTTTGGTCTCTTATCATAATCACTTTTTGTTAAAACTGGTAGAATAAACGTTAAGGACTATGATTGTCATGACTAAATGATTTGTTCCACAAACTCAAGTAACATTGTAGAATTAGAATCTCTAACAATATTAGTTCAATTTTAGGTATTTTTCTGTCTAATGCAAATTCTACATGATTCAGGTACTTTAGATGAGCCTCTAATAACCTGTCTGAGTGGGTCAGAGGACTTAATTCCTAGAGTAAGAAACTTTCTTTGGTAGGTTTCCTTCTATCACAATGAAAGAACCTTGCCATCTTAACTCAAAAGTAAATAAAATGTTCCCATGAGGTCTTTTCCTGACCACCCTATTTTAAATTGTAATCCTCCTTAAAACCCCTTTCTTACCTACACTTTTCTCTATCTTTCTTCTTGCCATCATAGTCCGTATTTTACTGACTTTTTTGCATTGTCTGTTCCTCCACTGGAATGTAAGCTACATGAGGTAGGAGTTTCTGTCTCTCTTGTTCATTTCAGTATCGACAGTGCCTGACATACAGTAGAGGAATTTATTATCTTTAGGAGAATTAATGAACGAATGAATTTGACTCCATTTTTATAAAAATAAAGATTATCAAACAAATTCCCCTTTTTCCTTCACCTCAGAATGACTGAATCTTCAGTCATCTTCATCCCTTCCTTTGCCATGACTAATTCTGCAGCTCGATTTCTGGATTCTCTTGTTTTCTTTCAGATACTACAATTTCTGTGACTTCTACTCATTCATGTTTTCCTATCGCTCCTCTGATCTATTCTTTTCAGCCTACAGGCATATACTCACGTCTACACTAAACTGAAAATCTCTCCTTACTCGGTTGCATCCTTGAGGTACCATATTCTCTTGTTCTGTTCTTTAATAGACTTTCTTGACAGTGTTCATACCTGATGTTTCTGCTTTCTTAATGCTCTAGTCCTTCTTTATCTTTTGCAAGCAGGTTTTGGCACAACAAAATTTAACGATCTTACTTAAATCTGAATTTCTCCGACAACTCTATTGCATCTATCAACAGTTCCATCTTCCGTTGAAATTCTTTCTTTAGTTTCTGAGATATTTCATAGTTTAATTGCTTGTTTCATAGTTTCATAATTGATATCTCCATTGGCTATTCTTCCTCCTGCTCTCTAAAACAGGCCCCATATTTCTGCTCCTTTCCCATATCTTCAACCATCAACTCTATGTAAAGGATGCTTAAAATTACTGTATCTCCAACTTTGACTTCTCAACTGAGATTACATCCTACATATCCATGACTGATAACTTGAATCCACAACCTTGGTGTTGAACTGTCTGTCCTCTTACTTCCTTCCATCTGAGGGTTCCACCTCAGATTTTGCAGTTTTTTCCCCCACCCTGATATCTCACCCGTGTCCCTCTTTTATGTCTATGGTTGTCATTCTATAGTTCTTGTCCTTACTCTTGAAGTGGCTCTTTTACACATCCAGTGATTCTTCTCCTTCAATATATGCTGCACAATAAGACTAGATTAGTTTGTATGACAGTATGCTGAGCATACCACCCATTACATCAGGAGTCTTCCAAGGGTTCACTGTTGCTCAAATAATGAAGCCTAAGCCAAGGAGTCAAAATCTTTCACAATGACTCCAACTCACTTTCCCACTATTATTTCTTTATACTTAAGCTCTCAGCAAATTGAACTCCCTATCCTTCCCAAACACCTGAAACTTTCCTTTTGCCACGATTTTATTAATTCTTGGTAGTAAATTCCCTTTTTTTCAAGTTGTTTCATGTTTTATAAGACCCAGCTGAAATATCAGATAGATATGTAACTATAACACAAGCAATAAATGATTCATGTCATTGAAGAAGTACAAAATAGTACAGGAATTAAGTGTGAACACATGCTACTAGATTATATAACATCTTTTCATATAGAGCCCACATTTCCATCTTTATATAAGACAAATACTTTATATAGTACCTTGCAGATAATAGGCATCCAATTTCTGTATGGCTAGAGACTGATATGAAGGACTATATGCATAACTGAGTGAATACCTAACCTTTATAGTAAAAAGGTATCTCCTATCCTGAGCAAGATTACAATTCCTTTTGAGTACAGACTTTTTTTCTATTCTGATTGCCCAATATCCCATGGACAGTCAATAACACTGATATTTATTCAACTTGGTATTACTGCACACATACTTTATGTCAGATATTCTATAGATTTGGTTAGGTGCTTTCAAAGATTAAAGACACAGTGTTCATCCTAAGAAACTTGTATCATTTTAAAGATAGAATCAATGTGGTGATGCATTTTTACATCTTTTTGTCCCTCAATAATTTCTGCATGATAAAGTAAAGTAAATTTCAAAGGATATTTGCTTCCACAGGTAAGAACAGAATGTCATGTTCAGTCATGATTTCAATATTGTGAGAGATATGTACTGGTCCCTTGGTACCATTCTCTCCAATAGCCATGGCAAATAACTCCACCTTCAGTTCTGCCTGCAAACCAGCTGCCACCTATAAGACACACTATAGCTTTAGGATCAGACATACCTGAGTTCAAATCTTGGTTTTAGTGTTAATTTGCACAAATTACTTAAACTCTCTAACTTTCCATTCCCTTGTCTAAAAAATATGGCTCTAATAAATGGTAGGTATAAGCATTTAGCAGAAGTATTTCATTGATTAGTTAGGGAGAGTTCCATTGAGTAAATGGGACCCAGGATAAACAGTTGAGGGGGGAAATCAGGTATTTGAGAAAATTAGTTTCTTAAGGAAACTAAATACCAAAATACTAGAAGTGGCAAACATCTGTAATACCCATAACTGCTATTTCGCAAATGTCACTAGTGGATTTCTATCTACTGGCATCCTTGAAGATAAATTTAAATTTAATCTTAAAATTAACCTAAGATACTGGGACCAGCAGGTAGCATAATGGTTACATTGCTGGACTCCCACATAGTTGATTGCAGTTTGAGTCCTGGATCTGGCAGCTTGAAACTCACACTGGGCACATGTGCATGTGTGCCCAAAGTCCTGAGAAGAGAATGGAGGAGAAGGAATTGCAGTGTGGCGATCCCCCTGGCATTTTCTGTTTCACTGTCTCTCTCTGTCTCTCTGGTGAGCATATGCTCTCTATAGGAAAAAAACAAAACAAAACAAGACTCTCTGAAAAAAAATAATAATCTAAGATATTGGGTGAATTTTGTAACTCCCCTGTTCTGCCCCTTGGTTGGTAGTATTCCTAATGTAGGTTGCAAAGCCAGTAGGGGGAGACAGAATTAAATTCCAAACTACTATGGTCTGGAAGCTACATGGAAGACAATTACATCAATAAAGAAGAAACCTGATATATAATGAAGAAGAAATGCAACAAGGCATAAGTTTCTGGTCCTTGAAAAGAATACTACCCAAAAAAGAAAGAACTGTTTATGTTTCTAAAAATGCCACTCCAGGAGGTGGGTAAAAAAAGCAGACTTGGGAACCATTATCTGGAAAAAAAAAATAACAAATCAGACACTACCATATGGAAAGCAATTACAAATGGATTTTTTTCTTACAATATAGTTTCTATGAATAATAGAACTGAAAAATGTTTCTATTTTTTCAACAATGTGCTTGTGAACATATGCATACTGGAGGGTATCCAACAGCTCTGTTTCTCAGAATCAGACCCTTAGTCATCCAAACCCCACAAAGCAGGACTGGGTAATGATGAAATTCAGCATGAGAGGAGCTGGAATATTGCCATTATACAGGTTTACCCAGGCTTTGAGCATATTCATTTAGTGTTGGCAACTAACCAAGCTGAACAGTGGTTAGATCTACATATGGAGAAGTATGTATGTATGTGTGTGTGTGTGTGTGCGTGTATATATATACACACACACACACACACACACACACACTTTTTTTTTTTTTTTGGCCAGGGCCAAACCTCCCATCAAAAAGAAGAAAAATCCACAGTATTGAGTTAGGTTCAAAGAATACATACTGAGTTTTTACCTTTAAAGGTCAATCCAACAGTCATTTTGACTTTTGGCATAAATCCCTACTTTAAATTAAAATGAGACTGCTAACTTCACAGAATAGTGGAAGAAGGGCTTGCTCTGATTTTTGCTTATTGCCATATATTTTGAAGATTCAGAAATGTTGACACCGTACAGTGATTATTTCGGAGAGGTACTCACAAATCAGTGGACTGAATCGCCAAATGTATTTCCATGTGGGGTTCCAGCCTACATACTACTGTTTTTTTTTTTTTTTAATACATCATAAGAGATTAGAGCCAGAAGAGACAGCAAACCATCTGGTCTGAACTCACTATTTTATAGACCAGGAAAACACTGTTCGGGGCATGAACTACCAGCATCACTAAGCTGTTTGGTGACAGGACAAGAAGCCAGTTGACTCTGTACTGTAACCAAACCAACCCTCCTCTGTCTATGCACACACAGTGTGGCTGCTCTAAGAGTTTCCAATTCAGGGAGCTTTGTGTGCTTGTTATAGGCTGAATGGCTACCCTTGGTAACTGCTCTCATGAGTCTATGTACGTTTCCACCTGTGAAGAATGGTTCATGTACCTTTTCAACTACCTCATTTTATTCTGCCACTCAGTCACATCTCTCTTGATACCTCTGGCTCTGTAAGTTCCTTATACATGTCTTACTCATTTTTAAAACCCTCGGCACCCTGGAACTATCAGTGGCATATGGGTAATATTCAAAGATTGCCAAGTGAAAAGAAAGGGAGTGTGAAAGCAGCCAGCTGAAGCACTGATCAAGACTACAAGTGTGATTTTTTTTTTTTGAGAGGTTTTCGCTATAGGGCGCGTGCGCTCGCCAGACAGAGAGAGAGAGAGATATAGAGACAGAATGCGAGAAATCACCCCCCAGAGGGGATGGTCACGCCACAATCCCTTCTCCTCCATGCTCCTCTTGGGATCTTGGGCATGCAAGCACATGCTCCTGGCGTGAGATTTTTTTTTTTTTAAGCCACCGGGTCCGGGACACGAACCACGGTTGACTACGTGGGAGTCCAGTGACATAGCCATTACGCTAACTGCTGGTTCCCCAAGTGTGATTTTATTAGACTGAAATAAACTTTTGTTTACATCATACTACATTTCTAAAATTGTAATTTAAATAAATGGGAATATACTTATTTATTTATTTTTTTTACTAAGAACTCGTTTTGGGGGAATGTATCATAGTAGAACAGGTTGACACTTTAAAATTTGTATTCTTACAGATCTTTGGAGAAAGAAGTCAGGTAATGAATTTAATAAAGATATTATTTCTTTGTATGGCATTCAATAATGTTCTTTGGCAAATACTGAAAACAAACTAGATTTATGTAAAAATATAAATAATAGATTACTTTTTCCAAAAGATTTTCAACTTTGCAAAAAAAAATTTTTTTAAAGAGGTTTTGCCATAGAGTGCATGTGTTCAATGGAGAGACAGGGATAGAAAGAAATCACCACTCAGGGAGATGGCCATGCCATAATACGTTCTCCTCCAATTTCCTCTCAGGATTAAAAAAAAAAAAAGATTATTTATAAATTTAATCACTATATATTTAGATTGTAAAGAGACTTTACCCAGCATGATATGCACCTCAGTCCAGCCTAGTTGAGAATACTATACATAGCCTCGTCAACAAATAATAAACCATATCTGTGTCCCACAAATGTCTTACCTTTCTATTTTTTCCCCAAATTTCCTTTCCTACTCTCTTCCCCTCCCACATTCTTTCCACTTTGTCTCTATTGTCCATAACAATATTTTTTTGAGGTGTTTTTGCTATAGGGCGCGTGCACTCACCAGACAGACAGACAGAGACAGAGAGACAGAAAGCAGGAAATCACCCCCCAGGGGGGATGACCATGCCGCAATCCCTTCTCCTCCATTCTCCTCTCAGGATCTTGGGCATGCACGCACATGC